CATGTATGATGTATGTGTGAAGTTTGATTGTGATTGGTCCAGGCATTTCTAAGATACAGGGTCGGACGCACGCACGCACGGACACATGGAGGTCAAAACATAAGTCCCCGTTTTCGGACTTCGTCCGAAAACGGACTAATAATTATCCCCTTTACAGTATTTCCAGTATATGCACTCTCACCAAGAGTTGGCTGAAGCAACCAAAATAGGCCAATGACCTGCGGCTCAATGGTTTTTAATACACATGTATTGAGCAATCTGTTCCAGGCAAAATGATTGAAAATGTTTTAATAACAAACAAATTTGAAAGAACCACACCAAGATGTATATAGTAAGCATGAAAGAACACCAGCTCAATTTTGACTGATAAAATTACAAATTAGAGAGAAAATCAAATCAGAGAGAAAACCATGCCAATATTTCAAGAAAAAGTCAAAATAGCTAAATTTCAATCATCAAAGCAATGTGGCATGTGTTTTTAAAAAAAGTTACAAAGATATACTTTTTACCAAAAATTGCAAAAGTATTCACTAAAAATTAAAAAATGAACATAATAGATGTCCTTCCAAGAAACTTACACAACAGAAATCATCACTATAAATACAATCATGTGGGAATAAGTCAATTAACTGATCCCTCATTTGAAAATTCACATCTCAGTCCTTAAAGGTTGCTACCAATCAATAACCAAATAAAATGCCTGAGCTTTTTTTAATTACATCACCTGCTGATGTCTTGTTTTTTTTTCTCATTCAATTTAGCGGCTTTTAGTACACAATATATGAAACAAGCCATGCATGGCACAGTCCCTGTTAGTTATCAAATTTAAGATATATAGTTTTGTTTTTAGTAATATAGCTTGAACATAACCATGTCAGGAATATGATTATGATGATTGTTCAACATTAAAATGATTGACATTTGTATCTGATCCATATTTGTCCATATTGGGAGATATTGCTCTGGAACAGCATTAATTAAAACAAAATCAGCCATTTTGAATAATGTATATATCTATAACATGATGTATAACGAATATATAAAATTTGAACATAATCAGTCAAAGCATGTCAGAGATATGGCTTTAGAAGCCCAATCATTAAAACAAAATGGCCGCCAGTCAGCCATTTTGAATCCGATCTGAAAATTGAATGATGTGCATCAGGAACCCGTAATGTCTAATGTATGTACTAAGTTTGAACGAAATCCATCCAGAAATGCCAGAAATCTTTGATATTTGATGTTTTTTTTAGCACAAAAATGGCCACCATTCGGCAATTTTGAATGGAATCATGAAACCAATATATCTGTATATCTATGACATAATGTATAATGAATATTAAAAATTTGAACATAATCAGTCAAAGCAAGTCAGAGATATGGCACAAGAACCACATTCATTAATACAAAATGGCTGCCAGTCGGCCATTTTGAATCTTATCTGAAAAACAAGCAGCCTATCGGCTGAGATAGCTCCGCTGTTAGAAATGCACATTTCAATTAAAGAACTGAAGACATCATCAGAAAATGAACAATATGTATAGTATCAAAGCAATCGGACTTACAGTTTTTAACAAGAAGTCGAAAATATCACTTTTTACCAAATATGACAAAAATATTCACCAAAATTATAGAATCCAAGATATCATCACGAAATGAACAAACCTGAGAAAGGTCTACATGTAGTATCTAAATATGTAATATCAAAGCAATTGAACAATTGGTTTTTAACAAGAAGTTGAAAATATCACTTTTTACCAAAAATTACAAAAATATTCACGAAAATTAGAGAATTGAAGACATCATCACAAAATGAACAAATCTGAGAGAGGTCCACATGTAGTACCTATATATGTAATATCAAAGCAATCGGACTTGTGGTTTTTAACAAGAAGTCGAAAGTATCACTTTTTACCAAAAATTACAAAAATATTCACCAAAATTAGAGAATTGAAGATATCATCACAAAATGAACAAGCA